TAAACATGTATACAAGTTGACCTGCAACATAAGGGCCTCTCATGGGACGGTTTCGCCCAGCAATGGCTCTTCGCCAGACATCTCGAGCATGTTCCTCAAGGAACGCGCGTGCGGCTTCATCACGCAGTTTGACTCGAGCTTCAAATGAGGGATCAGCAAGGATCTGGGATTGTGAGACAGGGTTGTGCTGCTCATGAACATCGGCCAGATCGCCTGCATGTCTCGGCTCTCTTCCCAAAAACCATTGTGACGGTGAAAAACCATGTTTTCTCAGTTGGTCATTTCTAACACTGGCACAAGCTTCTATTACTTCTTCTGGTGGACGTTCGGTTGCACGCCACACTCTCTGTGCCATGTTTCTGAGTATGCGATTTGCTATTTCTACCCTACCAAGCTGCCAATGACTCTCAGCGGCACACATGAGGAGTTGAACATTGTTTTGCACAAGGTAACGCTGGAAGTCTGAGGAAATGTTCCTATGATCTGGATCCATGTATATTATCTTTGGGACACCATATGGACGTGCCCAAGCATTGTGAAATGCGCGAGACAAACCATGGGGACCAGGCTCTACAATGATCTGCTGTGCAAAATCTGTGGCAAGGTCGACGCAAGTCAAAACATTCTTGGTGATTTCTCGAACCTTTCCATTGGCATCTTCACGTTTGAGTTCAACCTGGACAAAGTCGAGACCGACCACATGATTCGGCGATTCATTGTGCAGCACAGTTGCCTTCCTATGTGATGGCGGCTGTTTCAGTTCTTCGCACACACCACAACGGAAGTTGGATATGCATTTCCGAATTTCGGCAGAGGACTGGCATCGGACAGCAAGTCGCATCATTTGTTCCTTGGAGGAGTGACCCGTGTTTACATGTAGTTTCTGTATCATGGCAGCTATTCTTGCAGGACTTTGTTCGGCTGCTTGCGGTTCAACAGGAACTGAAACATCAGGTTCATACTCCGGGATTTGTGCAAGTTGATCAGGTTGATCTTCTGCAGCAAACACTTCTTCTATTGGCATGTTGCGATTGTTGGCAGGCTCTTGCAACTGAAAACATTCAACCATGACACGACAAAACTTGTTGGGATAGGTTTCAGCCCATCTGGTCAAAGGCTGGCCACGGTAGTTCCCCTCCAAGTGCTGATGGTTGTGCTTTCCATCGCAACGGCATGACACAAGTCTTTTCGCAAGAGATTCCTGCGAAGTTACAATTCCGGTTGCCTTCAACACAGGAAGCTTGGTCTTTGGACAGCGAAGGCCTAAGGCACATTGATCTATTCGTTGGGACCAACATTTACCTAAATGCAGCTCATCCCATGCATCGGAGCTTAAAGGATTTTCTGCATGTGCTTGACCACCAAGACCTACTTGCAAGTGCCATGCTTCACTAACATTTTTGAGGTATCTCCTAGCAATCGCCCTCTGAGCCATGATCTCTTGACGTGCTGTTTCACTCCTAGCCATGTTGAAACGTGACCAAGGTCCCCAGTGTCGGCATGGAAAGCTAAACCAGACATGCTGTGGACGACAGTATGCAATCAGCAGCAACAAGTTCTGGCGATCTTGAAGCTTGGTTAGATCCTGGCCATAGTCAAGTCCAATTCGGATGGCACCCAAACCTGTGACGGCTTCATATTTGGCAGACAAGGGAGCTTTTCCTGTAAAGACTTCAGCTAAACCAACAGGCTTGTCAAGCTTATCGGCTTGGGATCCTAACCAATGCTGGAGCTCTGCACGGACAGCACTTGGATCTTCGGAGATCCGGGACACGACAAGGCGGCTGCTAAGCTTTCGGAGAGACCGGGTGCCATTTCGCAACTTCTCTTGGCTATGCATTGGGACAGGTTCCTGATGGCCTACATCTACCCAGTTATTGTCTTCATCATACAGTTGTTCAACATCTAACTGGCTGGCAGGGACATCATGGTGGGGTTCCGCATCATTGCAACATGTACAACATGCCTCAGTGTGTTCATGACCTACGGCTGCAGTCTCTTCGGAAGACTCGGCATGCGCATATGCAAAAATGGCAACAGGCATAGCATTGACAGGCTTTCTGTCAGGGTCCTGCGGACGGCATTGCCAAGGGCTCACATGTAATTGTCCGTCGGCGGACAGGGTGGCCACTGACACCATGTAGGGAACTTGTCCTGCATCTTGGGGGATTCTTTCCTTTTTGTGTTTGTACGCAACGGCAGCATGGACTATCCCCTCACCCTTATTACCATAAATGGTTACCAGTTGTTCTTTTAACCAATCAACATCAACTACCCCTTTCTTGGTATTCTTCACAACATGCTGGAAGGCTTTCTTTCGGTCTTTGAGGCTTTGAGATGGTGATGATGGCTTGAAAGTAACGGCTGGCTTATGGGGCTTAGTGCAAGATTTTTCAGGGTTATCTTCAGTACTATCAGACCTATCTTGAACTAAGTTATCCCTGGGTTGAGGATTATCCTTAGGGTTATTCGTATTGGGCTCATGTTGGCAGTCCTGGCTGCTGCATGCTGGCGCTTCGGCAATCTTGATGTCCTCTACCGGGTAGAGAGGCAGAATCAAATGGCCATTGGCTGCTTGCTGGAGTGGCTGCGATTGCATCCCATGTTTCTCGCTGGTGATGGTCATGCGACCCAAGTCCAGGGAGGCACCCATTCCCTCTAGCACACATCTTGAGAGCAGGAATGGTGTTTGACCAGGAACCAGGTATGTGGTAATGCAACCATGCAAATTCCCCAAACGTACGGTCCATTTCAAACCTTTGTTGGTAGTTTCCTTTCGACCATTGAAACCCTTCAGTTCAACAGGCGGCAATTCGACACCTTGAGGAGGAGGATGACCACTCTGCTGGAATAGATCCCGATATGCAGTTGCAGTATCTTCCCCAACAACTGACGTAGTACAACCAGTGTCCAAAATTGCATAACCAGTGGGTATGGAGGCCAGCAAAATCTCTTGTACATCATCCCCCAGCACAAACTGATCTTCAACCATGTAGCTGAACTCGGTGAGAACCTCAGTGACTGCCATATTTGCATCTTCTTTTCGTGGATTTTGTTGCTTCTGAGACTTTCCATCCCCTTTTCGCTTTACCATCTGTTTTTGATCATACTTGAATGACTTCTGGCTTGGTGCTGCACCGCTTGAGGCAGCTGCTTGTTCAGGAGTCATTGCAACCACAGGGAAATATGGAGTCCCAGATCGTGACTTTTTGATCTCTTTCACTCTTTTCTTGCTTTCCTTGTATGTTCGAAAACTCTTTTCGAAATCCCGTTTTGCCTTTTTCTGCATTTCATAAACCTCTTGCAACCCTTCATCAGATCCATCACCAGATTTTTCTCCCGTCTCACCCAGCATGGCCTCTTCACCTGATTCAGTGCTTGACATTGGCGCTTCAATAGAAGAGCTCGCATCATCATCATTCACCTGCACGGCATAGGCATCACGACGCTGAGATTTGAAAGGAACTTGATGACGTTTTGGGTCTCTTCGATGATTGTCCTCAATGTCTGAAGCCCTAAGAATCCGTTCCACATCCAGAAAACGTGAGGATCCACCTGTAGCTCTGATCACTTGTGACCGTTGTTCTTTTGATAAACCATATTTTCTCATATACAGATGTCCCAGTACAGATTGAGGAAAGATAGGCTTTGGCTTTCTATGAGAACGTTCAACCGAACCCAGAATCTGTTGCATCTCCAACTGTTGCTTCTCCATATCTGCTTGCCAAGTGCCAGACGAGAGCTGACGCTTCGACTTGCGACCACTCGAACCACTGTGCACGGACTTGTATGAACCCTGCTGTGACGGTGGATGAGAAGTCCTTGAAGGAGGTCTCGAGGCAGTTTTTGGCTGAGCTGGAGGTTGCGATGGCTGAGCATCGCTTGCAGGAGCCTCAGCAGCTTGCTCAGGCTGAGTTGCTGGTTCAGCATCATCTGTTTCATCTGCCGGCTCATCGCCACCACCAGTCTCGGATTCTGAAGACTCGGCCAAGGAACTTGGCACCGGTGATGCGGGACCAGGGAAATCATGCTTTCGTTTGCGGCCATCTCTTTTCTCTTTTGCTATGTCACGCTCTTGCGCAATCAGTGTTTCCAATCTCGACAATTGTGTCCGGAATCGAGATGAGAAAGCAGTTGCACCTTCATTTGGACGGCGTGACAGCTTGAACATGAACTCATCGATGGCCTCATGCAACTCTACTTCAGGCAGGTATCTATAGTGTTGATCCAGACACTCCAACACTTTGACCCAACCCTTTTTCAGTCGCACTTCCGAGATTGGCAAATGTTCCGTACATCGCCAAGCTTCACCTGTGAGGCGGCTGAGGAGTTTTGGTCCAACAAGATGTTGATTTTTGTACTCCACAGCTGCAGCTGACAGGATCACCTTCCGTCTAAATTCACGATATCCACCAGGCTGACCATCGAAGGTGATGTCTCGGAAAGGATCTTTGTTGTCACCCATTGCAAACTATATTGCGCCACCAATTGTATTGCACCAAACCAAAAAAGTAATTTCCGGTTAAATGCAACACCCAACAAGCCAGAACAGGCTATGTTAACCGCGGGTGCAGTGAAGCACCTCTTCCGGTTCCAAAGGAGCGTAGCTGGAGCTTAACGCTCCGCTACCATGATGAAATCACGGAACGGATCAACGCGCGACAGCGCCACTGTTTCTTCCACGGGCGCACGAAAGTAGCACTGACCTCCTTAGGTCAGGCTCAAGGGCCCTGATAGTGGAGCCAAAGGTGCAATCGGTAGATGCAGTCGATCTCATAAGAAACCACCTGAGGATAAATGGGACATGGCTATGTCCTTCCATGTTATTTCCATCATTCCAAACATGCTTGCATGACAGTGGTTTTCACATATATATATATATGTGGATATTCATGTCCAAGATTCAAGATCGTTGAAGTTCCAGGCACTGGCATCCCAGTTCCAAAAATATGAGGACAGATAAAAACCAGTGGCTTCGGTGACTTGCCAGGCCTAGAAGTTCCGTTCCACGCCCACTATTCGCGGGTGGATCAGATCACCAACACCAGGACCCAGTCTGTCCATATCGCTAGCTGGTTGGGGGTTGCAAACATTTACGAGCTGCGAGTTTTTATCACTATGATATTGTTTCTGACATTACAGTCAATCATAATAGTTTTATGCAGTTTTCATGTGTTTGCTCTCATATGTGTTACCCTTTTGTAAACAAACATAACTATATGGAAAATCACCATTTTTTGATGGTTAAATCAACTATTTCTATGGCAATCTTCAATAGTTTTTTGTATGTTTACCAGACCCATGACGGATCCATGTATGGTATATATGCTAACATTGGGGGTATATTGATGGTAAATATATGTAAATGTTACCATATACCCTCTGGTAAATAAACATAGACCCTGAAAATAACCCATTTTTAATGGAAACTAATCTTCCAAGTCCTATTTGCCAGGGTCTATGTTAATTTACCAGAGGGTATAGCATACATGGATCCTATGGGAGAGGGTATTTGATGACCCCCTGTGGAATCCGCAGGATGTTCATGGCTGACAAAGAGTTCCGGGGCAACGTCGCAGCCTCCGCTCCAACAGGCGCCTCGAATGGAAGCCATGGAACCCGGGGGAGCAACTGACCACTTGCTTCGATATATGCTTGGAGAATGTTAGATATATCATATATCTGGGTAAATTATTATCCCCAAATGGCCGGAAATTAAGGTTAGTGGAATATTATAGAATTTATCCAGATATATGGTTAGTGGTTGGATATTGATATGTGGTTGATTATAGTTCCGGTTGATTCATAGCTCTGAAGCCTGTGACTCTTACCGGTTCCGCTCATGTCGTTACGACTCATCGATTACATCCGCACGTGGCAGGTGTTGGACCCTTTCATCGAAATGCAGAGTTCACAAAGGCGCGTCAGCCCATGGCCCCTGAAGGGCTCAACATGCTGACCCCATTTTGCACCAGTTGCAGTGGAAAACTATGCTGGAACCTGATTACTTTCCCCAGTATTGAAATGTTGGTATCCTTTATTACAACCTTAGCTTATTGTTACATATTACATTATCATATACTATTAACATACTATATGACTATAACATACTATAACAGACTATAACATACTATCACATGTTTGCCAGTCTCTGTCCTTCAATGAACAGCGCTTCTCTTTGGAGGGCTGTGAGAAGTTCATCTTGGCCGTCCACAAGGATGAGGGTCTGAACGCCATGTACGAGGGCTTGAAAGATTTGAATCCCATGAGGCACGGCGAAAAAAATCCGCTGCTTTGGGACCATGGGGACCCATGGGGACCCTGGAAAGCTATATATAACTTACGGATACTTATGGCTATTTGTCATGGACATGAAATATATGGACATGAAATATGTTGAAACATGTTGGAGGATGTTGGGAGATTTGGTGCTGGGACGGATTCTGGATGCAACAAAACACCTCCAGACATGGTCTGTAGTCCAGGATCATCAAAAACCAGCCAATGTTAGGAAACCACGTCTTGAAAGCATTGAACTTCACTCCCGACAAGATTTATTTATAATTACATATAATTACTATATTTAAGTATAACTACATATATAATGTAATTATATAATTCTGTAATTATACATACATATATATATATATATAATCATATATATATATTTAATCAGTTTACATAGTAGGTTATAGTCATGTACATAGATCCCCCGCCAGTGCTTTCTCAATTGGGTCCAGGCAGCTGGGTGGTGAACATCCAGCAGCACACTTTGCATTGATCCCATCCTTGGCGGCGCTAAAGGGCACCATCCATCGGAAGGTTCAGGAGGTCAGATCCAGCGAACAAATTGGGAGGTGGATCCATACCTTGGGGAAATCATAACAATTCCATACAATTCCATGAAAAAGTGGGAGGTGGATCCATACCAATACCAAGTGATGGAATTTGGTTTTGGATTTGAGATATAATTTATCAGAATGGTTTTTAGATGATTTATGTAAAACGATATCATGGGATGTCACTGAATGACTTAATTGGTGTTTCGTCGTGACCCATCACTGATCCAGGTGTGGGGACCTCTGGGCTATGTGAACCTGCGACAGCGTTTGTGCGAATTCTGCGACCACGAAGGCTTGCAGAAGGGTTTCTATCACTGTAGCTGATGGCTAGTAGTTTCTGGTCATTGAAAGTAGCAAGTAACTATTCAAACACAATTTCAAAGAGATTAATCATGTAGATATGTATGAACTGGCCATTTTCGTAGCTATGTTAAATTACCAGATCAGCACCATTGGTGGTCTCAAGAAAGCTTTGGAATGTCCTTTACCCTACCTGGGATTATATCACCATGGGGTCAAGCCATGGAACAGCGCTGTCAGGATGTCCTAGAAGTCTCAGTCAGCACTGAGGCTTTTGCCATCATTGCTGGAGTCAAGTGGGGTTTTATTCTGGGGCGAACATTATGAAACATATGAAAATTAGATGAACATTGAGCCTTTCAGATCTCCCCTGCAGGTTTCGTCCGCAAGGCAGATGTGGTGGAAGTGTCTTGTCTGAAGCCATGTGGCTATGATTCAATCTCGATGCAGTTGCTGGGGCATGGCTGCTGCGGCCTGGAAAGTGGCAAGTAAAGCACAGGGCCTGGAAATCTCTATTGAAGTCCACCACTGTTCAGCATTGGCACGAAACTACTCAAAAGTTGTATCAGGCTTGATTACTTGTAATGTGGGAAACCTGCCATAAACCTACCATAAACGGATGGATGGTTTGTACCACCGATGGTGATGACTTGGGGGTCACTTGGCCGGAAGTGGTCAGAGCTGCTATTTGCGGTAGCACCAGTCGTGGCCAGTGCTCCCAAATTGGCCCACTCATGGCCCACTCGTTTTTTTAATCAAGATTTAACATAGGCATGGGAAATGGCCCATTTGTAGATGGCTTACCTATAAAAAATGGTGATTTTCCATGGCTATGTTAAATAACCAGATGGTAATTCAAGATTAGTGACCTCGGATTTTTACATCATCGATGTATATCATGTACATCTACATATATGTGTATATACTGTACATATTTCATGTTCATGATAGTCACGGTTACAACAAATGATAATACCAACAATGCATACATGATGATAGTAAACCATGTTCACCATATACACCATATGTTTTTTCAATAATGTATACATTCACATAGCGTTGTGAACGTTGCTTAGAGTCAGGTGCTTCGTGAAACCCTGGGCATCTCAGAGGACGAGGTTGGCAGCAAGCCATTGGATGCCACTTGGCGTCGAGGTCACTGGGTGCCACAGGGCAGGCCGTTACGGTGGGTTTCATGGCATTTCATGGTAGATATATGTAGATATATGGTTGATAAACGATAGTTAGACATATTATGCTTTAAAAGTTTGTGGTGTATCTATATATATATATATCCTATGATTTATAATCCAACTTATAACTGTGGGGGCACCACCTAGGATTCTTGATTTGCATTTTAATATGGTGCGTGCACCCACAGCTTGTTGTAGAAATCTGGCTTCTTCCCAGTGGCTGAGGCCCTGGGCAACCAAAAATCGTCATCACCTGTTCTTAGTGGTTTAAATATCGTTTGGATTATGGTTTGGATGTACTTCCATCTTCATGCAATTGTATAAGCCGCCCCCCTAACCATCAAACACCCCCACAGAACCCATGCTTTAGTCATGGAATATCTATTCCTTCTTGTCACCCAAAGAGAAGGCTTGATATGATCAGGGATGATGGAACATTATCATTGATCGATATTGATGTGTAGCACGTGTTTGTCAATCTCCCCATCTTTGCTGTTTGAATTCCATTATTTTTCGGGCTTAGGCTTAGACCCCGGTTCTTGATATTTCATGGGATTTACATTGGATTTACAACTTGGGCCAAAATACGAGAAACTAATAGAAACTACCCCAAAATATCCCAAAATGTAATTTTTCAGATGAGGTAAACTACCCCAAAATCTTGCCCTAGAAAAAACCACTGGACCTCGGCCCCGCACCCCCACCATCCAATAGCTTCGAGAGAGTCGAGGTATGGCTGTCTCAGCTCACCACCATGAAGAAGGCGCTGAGCTGATGATGTCACCATCATTTTTTTTGTTTTTGGATAGGACCCATACGGTATACTATACATTTATATGTAGTAGTTATACTATGTTATACTCTATATTCGTGCTTGGAGGTTGAACAAAAAAGTTTCAGTTGTTTTTTTTTTGCATGTTCCATTCGCAAGTGGGCTGATGAGCGTTAAACAAATTGAGCTCCCTGGTGGTTCAACCAGCATCCAAGAGGATAGCGTCACCTGGGCTTGTTGCGTATCACTCCATCTCATTGCACTCTAAAAATCATCAGAAATAATCAACGATCCATCAATATCCCCACAATTCAGCAAAATTCCCAAAAAGCAGCAGTCAGATGGCCGTGGGAGAAGAGAGAAGAGAGAGATGATATTACCATCTGGTTATTTAACATAGCCATGGAAAGATCCACCATTTTTAAGAACGGTAAACCATCTATTTCTATGGGCCATCTATACCATGGCTATGTTAACCAAAGGGTAATATCAACTGACCAAACAATGCATGGACAAAATCATCAAACATCGCCGTTTTAACGGCCTAGGACGAACTGAAAGCTTCGACCTTGATGATCTCCTTACGACCAGCCTTGCCGCAGAAGGTGGGGCTGGAAGCAGCTGGATGTAGCTGGCTCCAAGGGATTTTACATTACTGATTTCACTGGTTCATCATGGTTATTCACTATACTTTCCCTAGCAAAATCTTGGGAAAACTTGCGACAACTCTAGAAATCCACGGGTTCATCGTGCTTAATCAATAGTTACCCCTCTAAGCATATATAAATTCATGTTGGGGGATGTTGGGGGTCCCATTTTCAGACACGCCCACAAATTGCCATCTAAATCTGCTACCATCCCCCCAACTCATCATTGCGTGATGATCCCGATATGAAGGGGTTGACACTGCGATTCACCACCAAGCAGAAAGGATTGCTGCCCGGGTGTTCACATCAAAAAAAGCTGGTTGTGATGGGTGAAAATGCATGTTCATGCTCCCAGATATGGTTCTAAAATGTTTTGAAGCAGTTCGTCAAAATGAAGTAGACCTCCAGTTTTGATGGTTTTCCAACATGTTTCATCATTTGCCCTCTAAGACTACTTACATAAATTGGGCTATCCGGGCTATCCAGTTTTGATAGTCACAAACAAGGCCAAGCGCTGCAGCGCGCACTTGGTGTGGTCCTTGCCAGGACAAGCGACGCGTTCTCACGGCCTTCAAATTATTGCAAGGCCCTAGTGGCACCGCTCGCCTTGGTGATTGGTTGCAGAGGCCGCGGGCCACATGTGCCAGAATCATGATCCGGAGAGGTCAGTGTGATTTGCATTTTGTTTTTGTTTGGTCTTTCGGAGCGGGGTCGTCCTTGGACATCCCAAGTTCCACAAAAATTCCACTCGTTCCACTCGTGGCGCAGATTTGGCCCAGACCTGGAAGAAAAGTCGGAAGTTCACCTGAGGAGACTTAGGCATGTGCTGCAATCTCTTCAAGATCGATGTACAATGGCCACAGGATGTATCTACCTCACCATGGCTGCCTCAATGGATCTACGTCCTGCTCGTGGGCCTAGTGACCACTCTTTTTTTGGCATTTCAGATCGTACACCTGATGGACTTCTTCCCCAAGTTTGGGTGGTTCTACTTTGTCTTCCTCACCAATTGGGCCTTGGTGCTCGAATCCTTGACACTGCTTTTGCTCTGGGTCTCAACCATTTGGGCATATGGTTCAGCTCCGGGTGAAGGACAGAAAGCACCTCTTTTTGTGCGATACGCCCTGTCCCTTTGGTACATCATCCAGCCCATGTCGTTGGTTGTGGTGATCCTTTACTGGACTGTCGTCAACCAGTTCTGGGATCCATATGCCATCGAATTCTCGTCCCTCTGGGCACACCTCCTAAATTGGATGGTGTTGATTGTGCATTTGTTTGTGAGCAACCTACCATGGCTCCTTGACCGCACCAAACTGCCGGCTCGCCCCAAACTGGAACCGCCAAGTTTAGACTTCTAGAATCTTCTAGTATAATCCAAGCTGTTCATGGTTTTTGCCACAGATGTATACGAGAAACTTTGGACATAGAACTGAGATGGACACTACCTTGTGTCATAGGGTGACCATTAGTTGGGAGATGTTTGGGGATGAATCAGGAAATGGAACACTGGACATCCCATCTCAGCACTAAGGTCCTTCAAGAATGGAATTTGGGCCTTTATGTTCTCCGCGGTCTATGTGATTTGGACGATCATCCACTACTTCTTGGAGATTGGTAAAGGAATTCCATGCGATGACTATGAGATTGAGAAGTGTCCAATCTACAATACTTTTGATTGGAACAAGCCAGGCCAGACCATTGGGATTTGCGTCGGGGCTTCTGTTGCTCTGCTGGTGGTCCTGGGTCTCTACACCGGCCTTTTCCGTTGCCGGGATGCCTGTTCCGGACGTGGCAGGACTTCGACAGGGGAGAAGGATGTTGAGGCAGCTGCGGCATCATAAACAGGGCACCACAGGGCCACGGGTGCACCACGATGATACCACCAGCCGTACAGCTGACATGCTCAGCTTCTCTGCTTGAAGCAGAAGGTTTCTAAATCTGAAGCAGCAGCTGTATGGCGATCGCGTTCAAGATTGGACGTCTTTTGCTATTTTTTGCTTTCCTTGTCCATTGGGCTGGTGGTATTACGCTGAAAGACAATTTTTCAGATGCCAGCCAGTCGGAATCTTCAATTCGTCTAAGGCGAAAGAGG